AACTGAGGCCAGAGAAGTGTCTATCCCGGTTGACATTAGCTTACGAACTGAAGCTTGGCAGCCGGCGCGGTAGGTCCGGGGCAGGGAGGGCTGTGCGGACGATCGGCGCGGCAGTAAAGTGTGATGTTTGCTTGTTTCCTTGGGATTGTAGGGAGTTTCTACCTCTCTGTTCGGTTTTTTGTTTTATTTTTTACCATGTGGGGTTTGTTTTGTCATGCCTATCTTTCTGGGTGCCTGACCCCGGTCGATGGCAGATAAGGAAAACCCCAACCACAAGAGGGTTTTCCAGTGCCATTGCTCCCTGAAACCTCTCTGAAGGGGGCCAGGTTCTGGCGCTGGTCCCTGGTAGGTCTGAACTCCTTAGCTAATGTCCCGGTCTAATATAACATACATTAGCCCGATAAGCTCCAGGGAGCCGTAGGGGCTTCCCACAGAAAAGCACTCATTGAGGTGCTCAAGGTAGCCTCCCCAGGAAAACGTGAACTACCGTCGAGACCTCACGCCACTCAAGTGTGCGGGAATGACAGGAAAAATTGCCAAGTCTCGAAAGCAAAGATAGGACAGTCTGCCAGACAGGATATGGTGGGTATGTGGGCCTGCGGGCCGCTCCAAGCAACAGCCTGGTGGACCAAACTCTCACAAGTCGAGCCTGGCCTCGGGCCGGGCTTGGGGAGTAGAAGAACTCCCAGAACCCCATCAACCAGGTATCAACCAGGACAACTCGGGAACCTTGTAACGGACCCGGAAAGAGAACGAATTCCCAAACCTGAAAGACGATGGATCCATCACCGAGGCGTAATCCGGGTCACACAGGAGGTGATGCGAAGGTGACGCGAAGGCTGCCCGCACCGCAGACGGTTGTATGTGGGAAGCCGAAAACCTCCAGAAAGACGGAACCGATGCACCGAGGAAACACGGAACCGAACCCGGGGAGGGGCAGACACGCCAAATCCAACCTCTATGCTGAGGGGGAAAAAGAGAACCCCACTCCTTGTAACAATAAGTCCCGCTCCGAGGGTAGAAAAACCCAGGCGGGGGTCCAACGGGGCCAATGGTCCCCAAGTCAGATCCCCCAGAGCACTGGCCCCTAAAGAAAAAGCCGGTGCAGCTGAGAAAGCTAAAGAGAAGGCTGGCCCACTGGTCAGACCCTGAGGCTTTGGCAGAGAGAGTGGACTCGAATGCCTCTATCACCACACTGGAAGGGGCATCCCCCGTGACTCAAGACCATCTAAACCCTGCTCCAACTCCGAAACCCTCAGACACTTCGGGGCCGGAAGCAGGAAGGGGGGGGGAGGGGACCAGGACGCACCACATCAGGGGAAAGGACGACGGGGTGCAGAATGAACCAAGGTTGAAATGACCCCCCACTCCCAAGTCCGGGTCCCTATAAGCAAAACAGGGCAGCCTTTGGGGCATCCGGGTGAGCAACCAATCTAGCGTGTTGCAACAACCTAAACCAAGCATGCAACGCCTGCACTGCCTGAGTTTCTTGAGTTTATCTTGAGATGGTTTCGGGGCTTAATGTCCCTGCGGCCTGGTCCTCGACCAGGCCTCCTTTTTGTTACACACCCCTGGGAAGCAGCCCATAGCAGCTGTCTAACTCCCAGGTACCTATTTACTGCTAGGTAACAGGGGCATCAGGGTGAAAGAAACATTTTGCCCATTTGTTTCCGCCTCCCCCGTAATCAAGCCCGGAACCTCAGGACTACGAATGCGAAGCGCTGTCCACCCAGCTGGTAGGCACGGGAGACATCTCCCGTCACGCAGGGTGCAGTCGCACCTCCACAGATCTCCAGTATCATCTATTGATACTGGTAATGGCTCAAAAGGGCCACCACTTACGAGCTATTCATGTCCGTGCCATCTTTTGGATGGCTTAATCTTCATCAATCATCAATCTTGGACACATTCACGGGAGACATCTCCTGTCACGCAGGGTGCAGTCGCACCTCCACAGATCTCCAGTATCATCTATTGATACTGGTGATGGCTCAAAAGGGCCACCACTTACGGGCTATGCATGCCCGTGCCATCTTTTGGGTGGCTTAATCTTCATCAATCAATCAATCAGCTGGTAGGCGCCCTAACAGCGCCCATCGGACCCATATGCCCCTAGGGGATTCCCATGTTCCTGAACGCTTAATGGAAACTCACGGCCAGGTAATCCCAGGCAGGGTACTGCTAACCGGCGCCCAAAACAACCAAACAACTGTCTAAAGCTGAACCCCAGGGATGGGTACACTTACGGGAACCTAGCAGGGGAGTCCCTCCAGAAGAGAACTGTGCACAGGTCAGGCACAAAAAAGGGGGGAAGCAAGGCAGACCCCCCCTACAAGGCAAAAAGAAAAAGAAAAACAAAACCCCGCAAGAGGACAACATACCCCAAGGAACAGAGCCGGCCACTGTAAGTGGTGGAAACAAGCTGCGCAGTACCCTGCGCCCTGCACCAATGCAAGCTGCCTCTTACCCTAAGGTAAACCAGGAAGACAAAACCCCTAAGAACCCAAAGGGTAGCCGAAAACCGAGCAGTAATACGGCCTAGCAGAGGCAGACCCCGAGGAACTTGTGGAAGGGAACCCCAAGCTCCAAGGGCAGTACTTACAGGACACCTAGGGACGAGAACCCTAGGTGCATGCAGCCCGAGTACTTTAGAATAACTCCTGGCTCTCTCACCCCTGGAAGACAGCCACGACACTCAAAGCCGAGTGCTGGAAACACTGGAGCCAAGCACACAACCTCCGCCTCTAGCATCACCCTAAGAACTGATGGGTGGATAGCCGTCGTGGGGGGGGGGGGGGCTGGGGTTTCCACTTTCCCCTCCCAGGGAGGGGGAATCTGCGTAGACAGTGGCGCGATAACGTGTGACGTCATGCTCATTTCCTTCTTTATTTTACGGGAGTTCTATCCACTTGTTCGGCTTTTGGTAGCAATTTTTTCACCAGAATAGGGGTTTGTTTTGGAATGCTTACCTTTCTGGGTGCTTGACCCGATCGATGGCAGACACAGAATGCTTCCAACCACACGGGGGTGTCTATAGGCCATTGCCGCCCATGCCTCTCTGAGGAAGCCAAGTTCTGGCTCATGGTCCCTGGTAGGCCCACAGTACTCCATACACATGATTGATACCAAAGTCTGACATTAACATATCAGCCTAGTAAGGTCTGGGGAGCCGAAGGGGCTCCCCCCCAGAAAAACGCTATTATGGTTAAGAAATTGCTACTGAAAACTGAACTAGTGGACAGAACTCCCCAAACAAAAACGAGCTAATGAGCATGATGTGACCACGTTGCCACGCCGCTTGTCTGCGCAGCTCCCCCCTCCCCGGGAGAGGGAAGGGGGAGCCCCATACCCTCACACCAGCTATCCACAACCCAGTTCTGAGGCTGGATGTCAAAAACACGCGAAAAAAAACACCGACTGGAAGGAGAGAGGGTTGCAAGGAAGCCTCCAGGTCTCACCCTGAAAATGGCATTTCATTACATTCAATGCTAGTTTTGTAGGGGGAGCCCCTTCGGCTCCCCAGAGCTACTGACCCAAAGACAAAATCAAGAGCGACTTATCCGGGAGGCATTAGCACTTGCTCCTCAACACAAAGTCGAGACAACTGACTGCAACTGCCGGCCCAAAGCGACACAGGCCTAAGGAGACCCAGGAACATTTACAAGATAGCGAGCGGCCAGGGGCCCATTCAACCTCCAAAAACCCTGTGCCCGAATGTCAGCCCAAGACATGTTACTGAAGACAGAATCCACAGCAGCAAACTTATGAATGACATTGGCACGAGCACAGACCACAGGCTGGTTGGACCATATAACCATGCGGACGACCTGGGAGACCCGAACCCTGGAACAGGGAAGGAAGGAAACCAAGTCAACCCAAAGTGGGTCCCCGGGCCATCAGGGCCGTGGCGCACAAGTAACAGCGGAGAGCCGCGACCGGACACAACACATGATGCACCCCAGCCTAACCAGCCAAGCATCAACAACCCAAGGGCCCCTCCGCAAAGCAACAGTCTCATTCTTCGCCAGAAAAGGAGATGGCTGCAAACAAACAAACCTAACACCAGGATCAAAAGAGCAGAAACCCTTGCGCTGGAAGAGAGCATGAAGCTCCGCAACCCGACCCACAGAGGCCAATGCCAACAGGAAAAAAAGAGCCTTGGAAAAACAATCTTGAACCGAAGGGGCCAACACAAACTGAGGTTAAGAGAGAAAGGAGAGCATCCGGTCCAATGACCAGGAGAGCTCAAGCAATGCATGAGCAGACCAGAGGTCAAACAACGCGAGACAGCTTGTGGTATGGTGTGGAAGTAACACCAACGCCAAATGCAAGCTGCAGCGGCTCCGCCAGCGCTGCACGATACGAGGCGACAGTACTCGTCATAAGATGACGATCCTGGAACAATCACGAAAGGAAGGACAAAACAACCAGAACAGAGACAGCAGTACACCTACGAAGGGACAAGAAATACCAGAAGGACCGCCAGGAAACTTCATACTGCTACCGAGACTTAATACTTAGGTGGGACACCATCAATGAAGCCACCTGATCACCACACAAGTGGTGATATACTCGAGTCAGAAAAACCAAACGCAAAAGACTCTATGGGAAGATCAAAACAGCCACGTAACAGACTGGACCGATCTGCTGAAAGAAGATCGGGAAAACAGGAAGACGCTTGGATCCGGACACAGAGCAAGCAGCGCCTGATGGTGCCCAGATTGGGCTGGCCATCAAGGAGCCAAGAGGACTACTCTCCCTTAGTAAGTCTCCAAGCGAACTAGGACCTGGAGCAAAGGAGGAATCTGGAGCGATGGACGATATGCACGCAATGGTGCCCCTGCACCAAGAACGGTGGACGATATGCACACAACGGTGCCTTCGCACCAGAAACCTAATATTATTTTATACAATGCAAATGTATGGAGAAAAATGTAAAACATGTCTTTAAATTTTGTTTATATACATTATTGTACTGGGTTTTAAATACAAAAATTTACCAGAATAACGTCGAATGTGAGATGTAGGGACGGATGGATATGGCCAAGAAAAGTCTCTGTGAATTTGCTTTAATGATGCTACAAAATCATCAACACGAGCAGCTCTACTCCGTTCTCTCCTCAGCCATGATACTAATGGAAAATCCAGATGTGCTGCCATTGTTCCCAGATCTCGCAGTCGACAGCCAAGTAATAACTTCTGTGGAGAATAACAAAACAAAAAACATTTTAAGTAAAATATACTTGAATATTTGTAATTTACATTTCATTTGTCTTGAATATCAATTAAATAACCATTAGGTATGGTTCTGAGGCAATCAAAAAATCAGCGTTGAATGTAATGAAACGTCATTTTCTGGGTGAGCCCCTGGAGGCCACCTGGAGCTTATCGGGATAATGTATTTTATATTAGACAGGGACATTAGCTATAGAGTTCAGATCTACCAAGGACCAGCGCCAGAACCTTGGCCCTTCAGAGAGGTTTCAGGAAGAAATGGCACTGGAAAACCCTCTTGTGGTTGGGGTTTTCCTTATATGCCATTGACCGGGGTTAGGAACCCCAGAAAGGTAGGCATAACAAAACAAACACCACATGGTAAGAAACTAAAACAAAAAACGAACAGAGGTAGAAACTCCCTACAAACCCAAGCAAACAAGCAAACATCACACTTTACTGCCACGCCGCTCATCTGCACAGCCCACCCGTCCCCGAGAGGGGGAGGGGGCCCCCGAACCTCACAGCGCTGGCTGCCTAGCACCAGTTCGGCAGCTAAGCTTCAACCAACACAAAAAAAACGCCGACCGGTGGGAGGGAGGGTTGCCAGGGAGCCTCCAGGGCTCACCCAGAAAATGGCGTTTCATTACAATCAATGCTGGTTTTCTGTGGGGAGCCCCTATGGCTCCCTGGAGCTACATACCCAAAAAGAAGGAAAAAAACCAGCATTGAATGTAATGAAACGCCATTTTCTGGGTGAGACCCGGAGGCTCCACGGAGCTTTACCGGCTGATATGCTAATGTCAGACTTTGGCATCAGTCATGTGTATGGAGTTCTAGGGCCTACCGGGGACCACGAGCCAGAACCTGGCCCCCTCAGAGAGGCAAGGGGAGCAATGGCCTATAGAAACCCCCGTGTGGTTGGAAGCATTCTATGTCTGCCATCGACCGGGTCAAGCATCCAGAAAGGTAAGCATTCCAAAACAAACCCCTATTCTGGTGAAAATTGCTACCTAAGCCGAACTAGTGGATAGAACTCTTCAACAGAAAACAAGGAAACTAGTATGACGTCATACGTCACCGCGCCGCTGTCTGCGCAGCTCCCCCCTCCCCGGGAGGGGGAAGGGGGAGCCCCAGACCTCCCACGCCGGCTTTCCACCCATCAGTTCTGAGGCTGGATGTCAAAACACGCGAAAAACGCCGACCGGAGGGAGGGAGGGTTGCCGGGGAGCCTCCGGGTCTTACCCAGAAAATGGCGTTTCATTACATTCAACGCTGGTTTTCTGGGGGGAGCCCCGTCGGCTCCCCGGAGCTAACTACCCACAGAGGAAGGTCAAAGGGACAGAACCGGGAGGCGGACACCACGCACCCCCCAAGGAGGCGAGACAACCGGCAGCAAACGCCAACCCTAAGCGCCACAGCCCCGAAAATCCCGGCAACAACACGAGAACCACGAGCAGCAAGGCCCCTGCACGAACACCAAAAATCCAAGCCCGAAAGACCGCAAGGCCACGTCGCCCAGACGGCAGCGAGAGCAGCAAAGCCACGAACGCCACAGGCATGAGGGAAGAACACAGGCAGCTTAGCCACAAGAACACGGCTGACCACCCGGGACACTATCACCCGCGAACCGGGAAGAACAGAACCGGATCAATGCAAAACGCGCTCCGGACCCAAACGCCGTGGCACGCAAACAACAGCGGAGGGCCGCCACTGAACACAAAAACGACACACCCCCGGCCCGACCAACGAAGCACCAACAAACCCTGGACCCCTCCAGAATGCAGCAGCCCCACCCCACGCCAGAAAAGATGGAGACTGCTGCCAACCAAACAACCAAAACGCTAAAACCGAAGGAGCAAGAAAACTCAGCGACTCGACCCCCAGAGGCAAAGGCCCAAAGGAAAGAGCCGACGAAAAAACACACTGGAACCGAAGGGGCACTACCAACCGAGGAGAAGACAGAGCACGCTGACCAGAGACCAGGATGGTGCAAGCGGCGCACGAACAGGCCGGAGGTGAAACGACACATAAGACAGCTTACTAACGGTGCAGAAGCAACACCAAGACCGAAAGCAAGCTGAAGCGGCTCCGCCTGCGCCGCACGAAAAGAGGCGACAGTATGTGGCAAGACGACGGCCCCCAACCCCCACTAGAAAACCAAGCCGAGAGTAAACCAAGCTAACAAGAGTAACCACCTAAGAAGGGACAGGAAAAGGAAGGACCGCCAAAATACCCCATACTGCCACCAAGAGTAGCACGCAGGTGGGACACCTACCACGAAGCCACCCGACCACCAACCGGAGGCGAGACCACGAGGCAGAACATAAGCAGCCCCGACAAGGCCCCTCCGAGCCCAGGAAAAAGGCGGAGCCGCGAGAAGATCTCGGGCGCGACCACCGAAACCCAGGCGGCACAAGGAGATGGAACGTCTGCCGAACAGGAAAACTCCCCAAAGCATGCAAGCCCGCCAGGAGTTCAGAAACAACGGATCCAACGCGAGACATCGCAAGACCCCCCCCCCCCAAAAAAAAAACAAAAAACAAAAAAAAAAACGGCAGGGCAAGCTAGGAAACCAAAGAAGGCAGAAGGGTCACCGCCAGAACAGGACCCGAACCAAGGGGCACGAACAACTGCAATAGACCGAGACAAAGAAGCACATCACAGGACACAGGCTGACCAACGCCTAAGAACACACGCAGAACATCCCTGCTGCAGAGGAGGCAGGAAGAAAGAGCAGAAGCACAAAAAAAAAAAAAAACCCAGGAGAACAACCAGGGGTGGACAATCAGGCAGGGACAAAAACCCCACGTAAACCCCAGGCACAAAACGGCAGCAAAGTGCCACTCCACAACCGGACACAGGAACAAGGACACGCCACCGTGAAACACGGTACCAATGCACACGTGCAGCAGCAGCAACAGGCACCACTGCAACATGCAACATGTAAATAGCAACTCCCCTCTGCAAAGGCAGAGAAACGGAGCAGGCAGACCCCAGACAGGGCCAACGGAGACACGACAAAACCCCGCAGGCCCAGAAACCTGCACCAGGCGACCGACGGCGGAGAAACCCCGCTCGATACCTGCTGGATGAGGTACTGGGAGCTCTTTTACACCTGAAGCCCGGCCCAAGGTCAGGCTAGACCGGCCAGAGGATGGCCCACCAGGCAGCTGCTAGGAGCAGTCCACCGGCCCACATACCCCCACAACCAGGACGGGCCGGAACTGCCATATGAAAACAGGCCAGTGCGCCCTGGAAGTCCACGGACGAACCAGCAAGAAGGCTTATGCTCGCAAGTAGGTCGTGTAACAAGCACAGACCTCTGATGGTAATACAGTGTTCCCCAAAGGTGCCAATAGCACCACTGCACTCCACTGGTACTATCCCACAAGTTCTACCAGATAGGCGGGACCCAAGAGCCAGAGCTCAAATCCTGCAAGCACAGCCAGGAGCCTTACCAGGCGAGTACAGAACCAACCCCACAACCCCCACACCTCACAACATTAAAAAAGGAGGGTCCCCTGAATGACTCTAGCATGGGTTGGACATGCACATGAGGGGGACAGGAAGGGGTGATAAAGGGACAGTCACTGGTGTGCGAACGGTCTCAGTCGTACAAAAATATACCTAAATAAAGACAGGTATATAAACACCGCCGCATCCAGCGCCCGGCCAAAAGATGCCAAACCGCAGAAACTCACCTGGTGAATGGTGGCACGAACTTGACACGACTCAACCGTGCCCAGAAGAACTTGGGAGCACCGCCAGGTGAAGACGCCAGAGCCGGACCCTGCCGGACCCGCAGGAGAGCAGGGAGAGGCGAAGGAGGCGGTCCACACCCATGACACAGGGAAAACTGCGGTGTCCTCCCCACAACTGGGAACCAGGACACCCCCGGCGCAAAGGGGCACATACCGCAGCCAGGGAGAAGAACGAGAGGCGAAGCACTGTAGCAAAAAAGGGCGCAAAACACCAGCACTGAAACACCGCCCAGACCAAAACAAACTCCACGGCGCATGCGCATAACACGCTGGCCGAACCACACACCTTCCCTGCGGGAAGGCGCCAGCCAGGACTACTGCACGAGAAAAGTAGCCAAAAGAGGAAGCAGGAACAATAAAACCAGCCAAAGAAGCAAAGAGCCCAAAAAGGAACCCAACAGGGCGACAAGTAGCCCAACCGGGCGACAAGTAGCCCAACAGGGCGACAAGTAGCCCAACAGGGCGACAAGGAGCCCAACAGGGCGACAAGGAGCCCAACAGGGCGACAAGTAGCCCAACAGGGCGACAAGTAGCCCAACAGAGCGACAAGTACGAGGAGCCGACAGACGTTCCAATAATGCGGGAAGTAGCGAAAAACCTTCCCGTACCCTCGAGAACACAGAAGCCAACACTAGTCCCGAAGGCACATGAAGGCGCAGGCGCACCCGAGATCAGAAGTCACGCAGAACCCCATCGAACGGGGAAACATGACCAAAACACCGTCCCAAAAAGGGGTGGGAGGAAACATCCACCCACAGGACGGAACCAACTGACTCAAAGGCCAAGGAACCGAGCCCGGGGAGGGGCCGACGTCCAACAGCACGTACGGCGAGTGGGGAGGAAAGACCCCACTCCGCGTAACCACAAGCCCCGCCTAGAGGGGGATAAAAAACCCCACGGGGCCTAACGGGGCCAAGGCCCCCCCAAGTCAGCCCCTCCCCAGCCCCGGGAACCTACACGACAGGCCCCGGGGCCGAGCCGTGCCCCCAAAGCCCCGGCCATACCAGAAAACCGGGGCAGCCGTGAAAACACTAAGGAAGGGAACCCACTGGCAGACTCATACAACACGGCTGGAGGAACAGGCTCAAATGCCCCCGTCACTACCCAGGAAGGGGAATTCCCCGAGACTGCCCGAGTCTCAACACCACCAAAAACCCCGCCCCGAACCTACAGACGGTAAGGAACCGGATGCAGGCAGGAAGGGTGATCCAGGGGAAAGAC